ATCTAAACGTGGGACAAGCCACCTACCCGTTGCCTAGCTTGGTAGTACAGCGACAGAGCACTTCTCTGTCTAGCGTGGCCCGTTTGCTTTCCGTCTTTCCCTTGTAGCGTTACCCCTTGGCCAAGTTTTGCTATTTATGGTGATTCATCCAACGGCATTGTCCGAATTCTCCGTCAGCTAATACACACAGTTCTGTTAGTTCATCGCGGCATCAGCGTGGAGACCCCCTTGGGCATGCCAAAGCTCTTCCCCGTGGGCACGGTTCACGTAGAGGAGTTTTCCCGTGTGTTTTTGGAAGGGGGTGCAGGCAGCTCTGCACTAGCTGGGCAAGCAACAAAGAACACGTTGTCAAAGCACAGGGATGCTTAACCAGTCAACGAACGCACGTCCCCGTGTAAATAAGGAATAAAAAGCAATGAATAAAAGCCATCAGCTTTTGCAAGGTTAATGCTTTCATCAGCTTGGGGGGAACAAACATTTCTGGGTGTTTCTTGCTCCACTGTTGCTTCCAAGCAGCATTTATAAAAGTCCCATCCAATACTCTGCCGTAGCTGGAAAACCTTTCCCTAATAGCTTCTTTGACCAGTCTAAGGTTCGACCTTAAGCAGGCTTTGCTCGAAGATCTTCAGCAGTTCAGAGAGAACTTCAGCAGTTCAGGGAGTTCGTTGCACCCTGGAGAAGGAGGTTCTGGCTGGACACGTTTACAGTTGTTGGGAAAGTTGTGCCGGGAATCACATTTCAGGCTGTGTAAATCTCGTAAAAAAAAAAAAAAAGAAAAAAAAAAAGAAAAAAATTGCTTTGATTTGCTAGATTGCAGCAGATTATTAAAAAAAGAAATAAACCATTTGGTAAACCGTCTAGGCTATGAAAAAAAAGCCTCCCAGCAGTGTGCTGGGTTGGGCATCTGGGATAGCAGATGGTTTGCATGTGCCACAACTGGCTGCAGACAAATTTATTTGCTGTGGACTGGGCAGGAGCTCCTGCAGCACTGAGACACTTCTTCCTTGAGGAAAAAGTCCTCTTCGAGTCCTTGCTTAGCGTTCCTTCTGATCTTGCATTGCAGCAAAGACCCACGACATCCAGATCACAGACGTCACCGAGAACAGTGCCAGGCTGCGCTGGGCCAGCCCCGAGCCGCACAACGCCTACGCTTTTGACATCACCGTCACCTTGGCGCACGACCACTCTCTCGTGCAGAAGCAAAACCTGACCGGCGCTGAACACGTCATCCGAGGGCTCAAAAGCGGACAGAAATACCTTGTCGTCATTACCGGCTACCAGAAATCCCAACCCAAAGTAACCTACACAGGGACATTCAGCACAAGTAAGTACCTCTTGAGAAAAACACATCAGCTTATTTTTTTTGGAAAATGGACACAAAAAATGGAAAAAAAAAAAAAACCGTGTAAGGGATGGGGAATCCGTTGGTATCAACGATCATCCCAACCGGGGCAACGCTCAGTTGTGTCATTGCGTGTCTGGCATCCTCCGGACCAGCAGCCGGACCTGGTTGCAAATGCGTTTCCTTGGCAAATGCAAGTTGACACTCCAGCAGTGTTAAATCGACACAGACTGTGGGAGAACTAAAGCCAGTCCCAGAAGGGGTTTGTCTTATTGTGCTTGCAGGAGGCTTTGCACAATGCGTCTTGGTGGGGTCCAGCCAGCATTGCTGTAATTAATAGTAAGAGTCAAACTGGGCTAACACGGAGTAAATTCAGTCCAGCCTGCTTGCAAAATAAGACAGAAAAGCCTCTTCCCCGATCGCCATTTCCATAGCCACCCATCTGCTCCGCGTACTCTATTGTCAAAACAACCTCACAGAGGAGAGATTAAACGGAGGGGTTGGTGCTTCGGGGATCCGAGCTCCCTGTGTACAGCTCACATGTAAACCTCACCAAACCCCGTGGCATGGCTGAAAGTTGCTGTCTAAGACACAGCCAAGTTTTATTTTTTTTTCTGTAGTTTGGCACAGAGGTGGCTTGGCTTGGTGGTATGGAGAAGTTTGTGCTGGTCCTGCCAGGGCTGCATCTGGCTGCTTCTGGCACTTGGGAGCCAATTTTGGTGCCCACGGAGAGCCTTTCCATTGGCTTCAGAGGGTTTGGATCAGGTCTGAAGTCTCTTACCTTGGCGAGCAATAAATGTGCCCACAAAAATGTTGAGAAAAGACATCAATGTGTAGAAGTAACATTTGCATGTGTTGAGCTGGAGCTCTCGATGCCCAGGGAAGCTGCATTTCCCATACAGTACGTCTCAAATGGGAACAAACGGGTCAGGCGGCGGTGATTACACCTCCGCCCACAAGCTGTGACCTGTACGCTGGGTAGCACTGCCCCCTTGACCCACACCCTCACCCTCCACCAGAGAAAAGCAAACCCAACCCTTCCTGTGGCTGCAGCCCCCTCCTGCTCTCCAGCCCCACAGAAAATGAGCCACGGTTTGCCCTGGAAAGGGGCACGATGCAATACGGTGCAGTCATGCAAGGCATGATGCAATATGAACCACGTTCTCCTTTCCATCACAGGGGATTTCCTCCCCTGGTGACAGCCCTCAACAACGTAGCTCCTAGAGGGATGTGAGGCCATGGCGGGAGGAGTGTGGTCAAGGAGAGGCGTGCAATGCATGGGCAGTCTTTGGGGGCTGCAAGGGAACAAGAGAAGATCCATCGTGGACTATTTGCTGCCCTGGAGGATGCCTTTTTTCCCTGCCCTCTCTAAGGCCAGAGGAGCAAAGCTAAACCACCTACAGAGAGGCCACGTCTGCTCCTCCGGAGCCCTCCAGTTGCACGCTGCGGGGTGAGCAGGAGCCACCCAAGGCTGTCGACATGGAATCCTGGGGACGCTCCTTTACGGTCACCCCCGAGGACGAGCCCGACCGTGCAGCAGAGCCGCCGGCTGGGGAGAGCAAGGCGAACCCGTCCTGGCGCAGCTGGGCGGTCGGGGATTACTCATCCCGTCAGCTGCCTCCAATAAACATTTCTGAAATGTATGCGCTAGGGTAAACACATCCAGAGCCGGCTCCTGCGACTTGTGCGCGTCCCCCTTGCCGGAGCTGGGGCCAGCGAGTTTGTTTATGGGTGCGCCGCGGGCGCTGCCGCAGATCCCCTTCCTCTTGGCTGACCCCGCTGCTTCTTCCCCCCAGAGACCCCAGCGCAGCCCAAGGTGTCCCTGGCCAACATGATGCTCAACACCGAGCCGCTGGAAGGGCCTGAGAGCGGTGAGTGTGGGCGATGGTGGGAGTGTTGGGCTGGGGGGCTCTGCCAGGACCCTCAACAAGAGCCTGGCTGTTTGAACCGGTCTTCGCCTCGCCTGCTCCCAAACCCGGCCTTTCTCAGAACCCCGCTAACGCCAAAGGATCTGCGCGTCCTTTGCTTTGCCGAGCCAGCAGATTATGAGCTAGGTGACAGCCTTGGCCACGCAGACCTGAGCCCTGCACCGGGGTCTCTGCCCCGTGCTGGATCCAGAGCCCCCTGAAGTCACTGTGATCTTCACGGGGGACTCAAACCAGGTCTTGTTTCCATCGCAAGGACGGGAGACAAGCCCGGGCTCAAGCGCTGGCTGCTCTCCAGGGACAGGCTGTGCCCCATGGCCCCTCCGGCACGTGTAGATGCAGGCGTGGATGCAGAGCATCACTCGGTGCTTGTTCACACTCTCGTTCCCCATTTGGGACAAAGAATAGGTCTTGGCTCCTTGGTTTAACACACAGCGCCCAACAAGGGCTTGACCAACGGCCAGAGATTGCAGGGGGGTTAGTGTCAAAAATTTGCATAAATCTGGCTAATTGGTAGCCCCCCTCCAGTTTCACCCACCTTCCCACGCCCTCTTCTCTGCCACCAGTGGCGTATGAGGAAAACCGCTAAACGAGCACGCTGTCAGCTCCTACTCTGTTGTTAAGCCCGTTAACCTGTGTTAATAACCCATAATCACTGTAGCTCTTAATACGTCATCTCATTGCGTTTGTTGACATCAAGCTCATTGTATTGGTGTATTACATCCAGTTGTCCCATTACGTGCCAGGCTGCAACCCTTCTTCCTCCAAGGGTCTGGAAGGGCTCTCAAACTTCATAAGCCGTGTTGCAGGCACCAGCTATGGATCTGGCATCCAAAATTCATCCCTGAATCACCACTCTCGTGTTTTTCTCGAAGCGTTTTGCTTGCACTGTGGCTCGTTTTCTTCCTGAGGTGATCTGAGAGCATGGGGAGACGCTGCTGCTGCTCAGTGCGTTCCGCCAACAAGGGATGCAAAGCTGCTGTTGGGGTCTGGCTGCTCGCATGGAAAGGGACGAGCATGGATCTCATGCCTGGCTGGTGGAACCGCTTGCTGCAGGAGAGGGGCTGAGGGCTTGTGCCGGGCTGGGACCACCTTATTTCTGCCTTGCGGGATGTCCCATCATCCCACCCTTTCCATGCCTTCACTCTCATTTGGTCCCTCTCCCTGCCACTGACATCCCCTCTGAAGCCTTCACCTGGCTTGTCCCCACCAGGTGACACGCACCCCCCATGGCTCCGTTTAACCCCTCATGTCCCAGCCCTTCGGACGCAAGGTGTGTAGCCTTGCGTAGGGCAGTCTGCCCTAAGGAAAACGGGTGTGCCGTGAGCTCACTCGGTGCTTCAGCGCAGACCTCTCCACCTCAGCTCCTCTCGTTGACCCACCTGCAGCCAACAACTCTGCCCGAGGATGTATGGCAGCCGGCAGTTTTGGGGGAAACACTCCCCAAGGTTGCTGACCTGAACTTTTTCAAGAGGCTAAAGGCATTAGAGCGGGGGTTTGGGGGCAGGTTGTTTAGCTGAGGCTTCTCGAGCTCTCCGTGCAACGGGAGAGACCCATGCTTAAATCTTCCTATGGACCTTGGAGGAAGCCCCAAATTCTGCCCTCCTGCCAGCATGGGTGGCCCATCTTTGCTAATAAAACCTCTGGGATTTGGACCGAAGTTACCATTTCTGGGCAGGAAAGGAACGTATGTTTAAATCCTCATCGAGCCTTAAAGTCTAGCACGTATGGCTTGCATTTAACATAAAAATAAACACACTTAAGGATTAAAAGTTACTGTCAAGACAAAGAACTTTGAAAATTGAGGGGGGGGAGGAGTTGTGTGAGGGCCCAGTCCTGTGGGGAGTAAGGGGCTCCCACCACCCTGGTCCAGACAGAGACTTGGGGTTTGGAGGTGGGGCGAAATCAAGAGCAGGGAAGAGCAAGCCAGGGGCTGGGGAAGGTTTGCGTTTAGGAAGAGAAATCACACGACAAGGAAACACCACCAGTCCTGTACCGGGCTTTTTTTTCTTTTTTCTTTTCAATCTCTTTGCTTTTTCAGCTTTTAACCCTTTCAGAGTCACTCAACCTTTGCACCTTTTGACATGCAGATTGGCCAGACCCTTGCTTGCTGGACTTTGACATGGGCATGCAGTGCAAGGACTATCAGATTGTGTGGTTCTTTGACTACAAAACCAAGATCTGCAGCCAGGGTTGGTATGGTGGCTGCGGTGGTAATGCCAATAGATTTGAGGCCGAAGCCGAGTGCGTTAGCAAATGCTTAAAACCATGTAAGTACCAGGCGGGGATGAATCCTTTTTTATCTTATCATATTGTCAAATAATGTTTGGATTGGAGAGAAAACATGGTTTAAAATCCAAACCCACCCACTTTTTCCTCCAGCAGCAGCTGAGAAAGCCATGCAGCAGCCACCCCTTGAGAAAAGATTATCGTCAGGTAACACCCACAAAAAAAAAAAAAAATCACCAACCGAAGCAAATCCATTATTTCGCCTTGACCATTTCACAGCATGCATCCAAGCTTGTCCAACACAAGATCACCAGTAGTACAGACTTGGTTTTCATTTGCTCCTTGACATGACCGTGCCCTACCATCTGCTTTGCATGAGCAAGTCGCCTTGCACGCGGGTTGTCACGCCAGGACGCGTTGTGTTTGCGTGACCTGAGCGCAAACCACCGCTCTACGGCAAAATCACGCACTGGATTTCATCAGCAGCGTGGGGTTGCTGAACTGGTCCCAAAGCAGTTTCTGTTATCGCCGCGCGACTAACCAATGCCCCCTCCCGGTGGTGTGCCTTCGCTGAGAGGCAAAGTATTGCAAGCGTCTCGTTGCCTGTAACCAAAATGCTTGATGGAAAACCAGTCCATGGGGCTTGGGGCTTGCGTGCAGACGTTCTCCTTTTGCACCAAAAGATAAAAATCGAAGTTGAGAGAGGAGCCCGTAGGAAAATGGCAATGGCCTCCTCTCCTCAAGGAGTTTCTGAGATTAAGAGGTTGTGTTTGCGAACCTCTTCAAGACCTGGGAAGGAAGTCGAGACGCGGTCAGCTGTGTTGGTTCAGGAAGGGGTTTGGGATGGGGACGTGACACCAGCCAAGCCTTGCTACCACAGCAGCCTCTCCCTTGCCGTGGTGGTTCAGGGCCCTCTGCGGGGACGGGAGGGAAACCTAGGAGCAACGCAAGCTCTGGTGCCTGACGGCAGGGCTTCAACCCTCGTAGTGGAGCGAAAAGGCAAATTAAGGACCCATTTGATTTCCTCAGGTGTATTTTAGGCTCCTTACATCGGACTCGGGTATTTCAGCCACTGGCAGCCAGAGGAAGCGGCGTACGGCTTGTGCAGGAACCTGTGGCTTCAGTCTAGAGTAGGATCTCATCCTCACAGGGCAGGGAAGCCTCCCTGATGTGTTTTTCCCCCGGGGGCACGTGTTTCTGCTAGCCCCATCCCACAGACCAGCCCCTTCTGCTCATCGTCACATGCCCTGATGATGTTTCCAGCAACTGTTGTTCAGGCTAAAGTGATATTTCATGAACTTGGCGCTGCTCTGCCCTGGGCAGATAGTCAAGAAAAGCAACCGAGGGGCCCTGGAGGGATGCTCGTGTCTCTGCCCGCCCCGCCAGGGTCCCCCGCTCTGTTCACCACCTGATTCTCTTCCCGTTTTCTGCAAAACCGCAGCCTGAACCCACCATGGAAAACGAGACACGGGAGCTCACGTCCAGCTCAGCTTTTAAAATGCCGGGCATGGGGTCTGGCTCTGTGTTCAGCCCGTACCAGGTACCATAGCCAGGTGCAAGCACGGAGAAATGAGTGGGTCTCCCAAACCTTAGGGCTTTTCGGGTGCAAAAACGTGCTCCAGACCCACCTTTTCAATAGCTGAGATAGCCTTTAATTACTGCAATTTTTTTAAACTTCCCCACCCCCCCACGACAAAATTAAATGTAAATGCAACTGAGGAGCTCAGGCACATTTTCTCCATGGGATGAAGTGAAGCCCCAGCTTGCGGTGGCTGCCCCCATCTTTTGAACCTGCCAGAGCCAGCCACAGCTTAAAAACACATTTTAGCTCCCTAGTTCTTGCTCTCCATCAATTCTTTGAAATTTTTGAATTAGCTTCCGTTTCCTTTATTGTGTAAACTGAAAATTGCAATGCCAGTGAATTTTCAGCAGCTTTCCTGAAGCCGGATCTGCCCTTAAAGCGTTGGATTCAACCTAAAGCGTTGGATTCAACCCTGAAGGTTGAATTTCCCTCTCTGCATCTGCTGATCCTGAAAGCTGCTTCCACTCTCAAAGGGGATGAAGCGGGGGGAAAGCTGGGCTGCCTGGACCCCGTGCCGCAGAGAAAAATTGTATTATACCTCCCATCAGCTGAACATTTTGCTTACTTGGTTGGATTCCCGAAAGGGTGCGCGTGGGGTTTGGGGTAGAGTCATTCTTGTATTCACATCTGCTGGCTTTCAGCGTTTTGGAAGGCAGGGAAGAAGGGAGATGGACTTTGAACTAAAAAAAAAAAAAAAAAAAAAAAAATCTGAATATAAAAAGGCAACGAGCCTGCCAAAGGCATGGGGAAACTTTTGGCTGTAGGAGCCCGAAAGCAAAGCTGCACTGGAAGGTCAATATTCATTTCAAATTCCAAGGAGAAATGGAGATTAAAAAAGAAATCTTGCTTCAAAAAGTTGCATTTAGAACAGGACGTGGGCACGAGCGTCCTTTCAGACACGTCTCCTCTCTGGGAAGGGACATATTCCCAGCTCCTCCTGTCTAAACGGTTAAGCCACCGCTCAAACCACCCACCCAACCTCCCTCTCGCCCGCGGCAGCGTGGACCCCTCGAGTCTGACCCCCCTTGACCGCGGCGTTGTTCTGGCAGCGACCTGTTCGGTCCCTCATGGCACGGAGGGGGAAAAGGCAATTAAAAGGAGCGGGCAGAACGAGCTCAGCCGTTTGGCAGAGTCTGCCCAGAAGCACGCCCGACACCGGTCTGGGCATCGCCACCTCCCCGCCCGG